GCCCTTTTCATAAGATTTGAACTTTTCATTGGGTTGAAAACTTGAATTTCTTTCATTACTTCCAACTCATAATAAGAGCTCACCTAAATTCTTACAATCAAATAATTATTAAGAAAATGTGAGAAAATCATAATTTTACTTCATAATATTAATAAAATAAGTATAATAATATATTATGACTTAAATGATAAATATTATGAATGTCATAAAGAGCTAGTAATATGTATAATTCTATTATTTACCCATTAATTAGCATCTATATATAAGATATTAATATATAGATGCAACTACTAATTTATAACCATCAAATACCCCCCACTTTATTCATTACTAGTCCCTTAATAATTTTCTTTAAGTTTTCTTCAAATTGTCATTTCACCTTTCAATCTTGAAATATGAAGACAAGAAGTATTCAAAGTATTGATCACGCCTCGACATATGATCACAACTCATAGAAGTTTAGATTCTATCATCTTGGTCAACCTCTTAGGAGTTTTGAAAAGAGCCACAAGTAATAAAGGAGAATGAGCATATCTTTAGGTATGATATTATAGGCATGAAAAGATTATCACCTTTCAATGATGTGTCTAATCTTAACCCCCTCTAAATAGATATCCCTCTCTCTCGTATATGGTGGCTACTTGGTGTTTAAAAATCCTTTTTAACCTTCCTTCCCTTTAAGAAAATCAGTGCAAGCACATGTACTCTTTGTGGTATAGAATGAAAGTGGATAAAAATATGAGATATAAGAAAGGTTGATAAATAGAGACAATGAAGAGATAATACACTAATAAGGTAGGTCATGGGCTGAAGAGCATGGTTTAATGTACTAGCAATGATAGGTTGTGTAATTAATGGCTAAGTTCCACTCATGATAGTTATGCTCCCAAATCAAGATGCTTAGATCGAGAAGAATTACATAGTGTCATTTGGGAACATTGAATAAGTAGAGAAACAAATTCCCCACTGATCTCTATTTTTCAATGACTATTTCTTTCCTCTATTCTCTTCATTTTTTTCTTTTCTTTTTTTTTCTTTTTCACTCTCTTTTTTTTTTTGATGAACAAAAATCTTAACTCAAACATATACAACTTAGAAGAGGACAAGAGAATATTGAAAAAGATAAGTATGAAGAAAAATAAGTGACACATGTAAAGAATAAGTGCTATTTGGGACAACATCCATGATGAGTGGGTAAAACAAAATGAGTGGAAAGAGGGTGGCCTAATTGTGAAAATCTGAAGCATAAATTTGGGTCTTATAAAGGGATAAAATGGTATGATTGGATAAGATATAGGGACTGAATAATATATAGTGGATAGAAAATGTATGGATATCATTCTATACCTAAGATTCAATGTCCTTCTACTATTCTCAAAAAGAAAAATTCCGATCAATGAGATTGCATAGACTAAGTAGGATTGGCTAACATAAGATATGGGGTCTAAATTTTCTATCACTCAATTCTCTCGAGTCCACACCAATAGTACCTCAACCTTTTAATTTCTCATATTCCTTTGATACTCATTAGATATCTCACTCGGAGGTCATCCATTATATAAAAATCCTCATAGTTGATCTAGGTCCCATGGTTGTATCATTCTTGAGTTAATCTCAATCTGCTGCAATAGCCTAACTTCTATGCCCTAAATTCCAAGATTTCTAGGTGAATAGACTCACTAAGATGGGGTTGATAACCCTTAAAAATCTTTTTATGAGTAGATACCCTCCACTTAGTAAAAAAATAATATGCATCAATCCCATGAAAAATTTTATTTTTTTTATAGAAGACATGTAAATGACTCATACCCTGCAGTTCATTTATGCATGGTCCTCAATGCATGTGGAAAGAATTAACACAAGTAAAATTTTGCAAACTGAGGGTAGATGCTTCATTTGCAAGAATGGAGGTAGCTCTTTGTGACTTCTATGATCATCTCTATCAGCAGCTCAAGATCATGAAGATTTCAAGGTCCTCCTACGTGAAAAAGAAAATACGAACACAAAACAAAACACACACAAAAGAAAAATACTAAATTAAAAATTAAAAAAATAGCAACTACTAAGCTTGTGTAGTGGAGTTAAGAGAATCATTAGTTTCATGAAATGACTTATTAAAATTGATTGAGATTGATAGAGAAAGTGAATCATTTTCTCATAATTATTTTTTTTTTCTATTTACTTTTATTTGTTGTCCTATTTTTGGAGCCTCAATTAAAACAACATCACATTCAAAGACTTTAATAATAATAAATGGACCATCTCATCTAGATTTAAGAACTTGAATCTTGAATTATAAAGCCATACTTTTTTATTTTCTTTGAATTCTCTTCTTCTTAATTGTTTGTCATGAAATGCTTTCATTTTAACTTTATAAATCTTAGAATTCTCATATGTCTTATTTCAAATCTCATTTAACTCATGTAATTCAAGTAATCATTTCTTTCCAGCATTATCAAGAGATAAATTTAATTTTTTAATTATCCAATATGCTCTATGTGCTAGATAGGGTCCATTGGCTTGTGGACATATGAGAAGGGTTCATTTTAATTTTTTAATTCAAGAAATTTTTTATCTCTCTATTACATACTTTTACTTGTCCATTGGCTTGTGGATGATAAGGTGTAGTCATCTTATAATGAACTCCATATCTTTTCAATAGGGTCTTAAATTGATAATTATTAGAATGTGATCCTCCATCACTAATGATGGCCCTAGGACATCCAAACCTTAAGAAAATATATTGTTCTATAAATTTAACTATCACATTTTCATCATTAGTTCTAGTGGGAATTGCTTCTACCCAATGAGACACATAATTTACTATCATCAAAATGTCTTCATATCTCTCTGAATTTAAGAAAGACCCCATGAAATCAATTTTCCATAAATCAAATATCTCTACTTCTAAAATTGGCTTATGGGGCATATGATCTTTCTTACTCAAATTAACGGTCGCTTGACATCTTAAACACCTTAAATAAAAATCCTAAGAAGCTCTAAATATATTTGGTCAATAAAACCAATATTATAAGACCTTTGAAGCTGTAATTTTAGAAGAATAATGGCCTCCACATGGTGATGAATGACAAAACTCTAAAAATAATTATTGTTCCTCCTCCAGAACACATCTCCTCAAAATCTGATCAGCACCAAAATAGAATAATTCAGGTTCTTCCCAATAATAATGTGATAATATTTTGAAGATAACTCACTATATGTGCATACCAAGGTATTTTCCTAGCTTGAACTCCTAAAATATGTTCATTGGAAAAGGAATCACTAATGGGCTGTGAGTTTGCTACAGTCATCCTCAATAAATGACCCGCCATTACATTTTCACTTCCCTTCTTATCCTTTATCTCAATATCAAAATCTTGTAACAAAAGTATCCATCTAATAAGCCTAGGTTTAACCTTTTTCTTTCTATGTAAAAACTTTAAATTGCATGATGAGAAAAAATAATAATCTTACTACCTAATAAATAAGACCTAAAATTTTCTAAAGTAAAAACAATGGGTAGTAATTCCTTTTCACTAGTTGAATAATTTACTTGAGCATCTACCAAGGTCTTACTAGCGTAATTGATGGCCACCAGCTTCTTGTTGATTCTTTTGGCCTAGGATTGCTCCCATCGCAAAATCTGATGCATCTCACATCAACTCAAAGGGTAAGCTCAAATCAGAGGCCTGCAAAATAAGAGCTTGAATGAGTACATCTTTAATTTGGTTAAAAGCAATCTTAGCATCACTATCAATAATAAAATTGACATCCTTGGACAAGAGATTAGTTAAGGGCTTAGAATTTTTACAAAATCTTTAATGAATCTCCTATAAAAGCCGGCATGGCCAAGGAACCCTCTAAGCTATTTTAAATTGCTGGAAAGAGGTAGGTGCTTGATCACTTCGATTTTGGCCTTATCTACCTCTAGCTCATGCTTGCTGACTTGATGTCTCAACACTATTCCTTCATGCACCATGAAATGAGATTTTTCTCAACTTAATACAAGATTATTTTGGATACATATTTGTAGAACCTACATTAGATTAAATAAACACATATCAAATTATACACCAAAAACTGAAAAATCATCCACAAAAATTTTCAATCCATCGCCCACTAATTCGGTAAACATGACATTCATACATCTTTGAAACATAGCACGAGCATTACAAAGACCAAATACTATTTGTTTAAAAACAAATGTTCCTACTGAACATGTAAAAATAGTCTTCTCTTGGTTATTTGCATGAATATTAATTTGATTATACTCTGAATAGCATTCAAGAAAATAGAAATAATTTTGGTTGGCTAATTTTTTCAAAATTTGATCTGTAAAAGGCAAGAGACAATGAATTTTTTTAGTTACTAGATTTAGTTTTCTAGTCTATACATACTTTCCAATTGGTGACTAATCTAGTTTGCATTTCTTTTCCTTTATCATTTTTTTCCACTATTATGTTGATCCTCATTGGTATCGTGGACTAGACTTACCTAAAAGTTGTCTAAGACTTGCATAAATCACATCCGCTTTAAGCCATTTCAATATTTCTTTATTTAACACTTCTAGTATATGAGGATTTAAGCGCCTTTGATTTTTCTCTTTATGCTTAGTATATCATCAAATGACCATCCTATTGCTGTCATATTTTTCTTGAACACATGCATGAGTTTTTCCTCTTGTTCAAATGTAAGGCTTGATGATATAATAATAGGTAAGGTATTTTTAGGGCCTAAGAATGCATATTTTAATGAAGAGGGTAAAGGTTTTAGGTTTGAATTTGAGACAACAAAGAGTTCTAGAGGTTCCAATAGTTCTTCTTTTTGTTCTACTCCACAAATTTCTACATAATTTTCTCCTAGCTCATCATCTTCATCAAACACATCATAAATGTTAACTTCTTCATGGCTAACACTAAGATATTTTATTAATCTCGAAACATTCAGTTCAACCTTCTCCTCTCCTACCCTTAATACTACTATCCCTTTTTCCCAATCCATTATATGGCTTTGGTGGTTGCTAAAAAGGGTCTCCTTAAAATTATTAGTGTTCTACTCCAATTATCAAGGATTTTCATATTAGTCACAATAAAATCAACATAAAATGTGTAATGTTCTAACTTAATCATCACATCTTCCAACACACCATATGGTTGCTTAATAGATCCATCAACAAGTTGTAAATTTAAGAGGACTGATTCTATATCTTCAAATTTAAATTTATTATATAAGGCTTTTGGCATTAGATTGACACTAGCACCAGAATCTAATAAAGATCTAGAAAAATGTGTTCCTCCAATATCACAAGTAATTAAGGGTGCACTTAAATCTTTCTTTTTTTCTAAAATTTGATTTAACCTAATAGAACTAACACTTTCAGACAATTTGACTCTCTCGAGTTTTCTATTGGGAGTACAAAGTTCTTTAACATATTTTGAGAATGAAGGAATATGTTTGATTGCTTCTTTTAAGGGAATAGTTATTATGGTCTTCTCAAAGGTCTCTAAGAGTTTAGTATTTTGGATGGGAGGTTTGGTAAATTTTAAAGCTTCTGGAAAAAAAATGAGGGGGTGATATTTTTCTAAGGTTGACTCTCTTTCTTTCAGCTCCACTTTTTCTTCTTCTTTCTCTAAGGTTTTCTCTTGCTCTCCCTCTTCATTCTTGTCATAAGAGTCAACTAAACATTTCTCATTTATTGATTTAGTTATGGCATAAATACACTCATGATTTTTTGAAGGAAAAGATGTATGAAATTCAACATAAATAACATTACGAGGATTAATAGAGGGCTGAGTTGGAAATCGACCTGTACTGCAGTCCACTTCTTTCCCTTTACCTTTCATATTTTCAACATTAGAGTCGACTTGATTCAGCCTCTCCAATCAGCCTTGAGCTGCTTCACATCTCTCATCATGCTTAACACTACTTCTTTTGTTTCACACTAGTCCTTTTGAATTTCTTGCAAAATCTATATAAGAAGTTCATTAGAGTTACCTTGAAGTATGTGTTGTGATTGGGAACTGTTGGAAGTAAGGTCTTGACTGAAATGGGGGTCGAGATTCCTTGCTGAAGTTTACATTGCCTTGCCCATTCTATGAGTTGTGAGGTGGTGCATGGTTCATCACATTCACTTCACCAGTGTCAATGCATTCTCTATCTACATATATTTTACTAAAACACATAGGGCATGAAGTATTATGAACATGTGAAATAGTAGGTTTAGATAATAAATTTTACATCATATCAATCAACTTCCCTAAGGATGCCTCAACATTTCCTAAACACCTATAGGTCATATCTCTCTCAATTTCAGGTTTCATATTTTTTACATTCAAGACTCTCTTCTCTTGGGTCCTACATTTCTCTCATTTTGATTCAACCCCATATGTTGGTTGTCATTTTTAATCAACTGTTCAATCAATTCTTCCACCTCATCATCATATTTATCTAGAAGTAATCCCTCACATACCATATCAACTCTATTTCTAGTATTTTCATGTAACTCTTCATAAAAAATTTGAATCAATTGTCAATTACTATATCCATAGTGAGGACACTTCAGTCAAATCCTTAAATCTTTCTCGAGCTTCACCAAATGTATCATCTCCTTAAGTGAATGTTTGCATGGCTCTCCTATACGAGTTAGTCTTCCTTAGGGAATAAATTTTTTGAAGAAAGTAGATTTCTATTTCTTCCCAACTTTCAAATCTCACTCTTAAATTCCTAAATCATTCCTTAACTCTCTTTTAAAGTCAAAAGAAAATTTTCATCTTCATGACTTCACTAGTGACTCTTGAAATTTGATTCAAAGAATATGTTTCAGCCAATTCCTCTAAGTATGCATTAGGATCTTCACTAGATAGACCATGAAAATTAGGTAAGAAGTTAATAAATATATTTTCTATCTTAAAGCTCACTCCTATGGTCAATTGGCAGGGGGGTCAAAGGAGAAGCTGCCCCCTATGGAGTGTGGGGCAGCACCCTGCCGCTCAAAAATCTCACAAAATTGTATATGTAAAAAGTGATATTTTTCTTGAAAATCCTCAACCGATGGCTCAGAAAACTGTTCATTGAAGAAAGAAAAAATGACATAAAATAAAAGAAAAATGAAAGAAAACAAAAGGAAAAATTTATTCTCTCAATGACACCTAGGTCCCAACAATAGTGCCAATTTGATGAACTCGAATTGGAGGTTAAATACATCATCATGATGCAACTAAATTTATGCAAATAATATTTATAAAACCTCAATCTTCTATTTATGATAAGTAAAGGTCGATCCTCAATGAGCATAGGTAATGAGAGTACGAATTTTACTTATTTTATTTCTTATATAGATATATGTATATATGAGATTGTAAAGGACAGAATTAAACGTTAATGAGTGAAGACAAGAATTATGAAAAGTATGATAAAGTAGAGAATAAATCTAATGTAATTGAATGATGTAATAAATAATAAAACTAGTTCAAATTAAAAGTTAATTTATTCATGGAAAGGATTACAAGGGTGCCCCAAATCTAGATCTTACACAAATCTTGTTGTGCACTAGTCTTAGGCCGAGTGATGCTTAATTCTTGATGATTTTGATGCACTCCAAGTAATCTCTTTTCCACTGATTTTGGGCACGAGAATGCCTATGATCAGGCCTTGATTTTTCTCTTATTTCCTTCGATTAGTCACTACTAAAGAGAGAGCCAAAAAGCACCCTCCAAGAGGCGGCAAGATGTATTAATCCTTTCAAGAGTTTGGCCCTCAAGAGATGATTAAGATTAATAACCGACTCTCTTGGTGGATGGCCTAGATCATTCCATAAGGGTGACACTCTAATCCTTCTCTTAATCTCATCTTAAGGCATTCTAAGATGAATGGCCTAGATCTTTTCTCTTGATAAACCTTCTAAGTCCAAGTGGGCTAGGTCAAAGTGATGCCCTCTCTCGGGCCCATAAATATATTAGGTTGACCCTTTTCATAAGATTTGGACTTTTCATTGAGCTGAAAGCTTGGGCCTCTTTCATTACTTCTAATTCATAATAAGAGCTCACTTAAGTCCTTGCAATCAAATAGTTATCAAGAAAATGTGAGAGAATCACCACTTAACTTCATAAAAGTCAAGTGAGGTAGTCTCATAATATTAATAAAATAAGTGTAAAAATATGCACTAAAATAATAAAATATTATGAATGTCATAAAGAGTTAGTAACACATATATAATTATATTATCTACTCATTCATTAGCATCTATATATAAGATACTAATACATAAATGCAACTACTAATTTATAATTATTAGTGAGAGATGTGGAGTAGCTTAAGGCTGATGTAGAGAGGCTGAATCAAGTTAACTCTGATGTTAAAAACATGAAAGATAAAAAAGGAAAAAATGGACTGCAATACTGTGCTCTAATTTGTCTAAGTTGCACAAGGATCTTGCCATGCTCTTGCAACTAGTGCTTCAATTTCGCTGATGCTCTAAGATTTTGAGTAAATCTAAAAATTATACTTTTCATTTCAATGGTTCTCACTCTAGGATAAAATGTTAGAATAATGTATGTAACATTTCTAACCATGTTCTAATGTTTTCCTCTATGGTGTATAGCCATGCTTTACCTTTATCTTTCAAAGAAAATTGAAACAAAAATACATTAATAGTATCTATTGAAAGATTTTGAAACCTAGGAATAGGACATATTATAAAAAAAATTCAATGTTCTCATATTGCTTTTCATCGATACTTCCATATAATAAGTGGAGTATTAGTATGGTATTATATGATAACTTCAGTAGTTATCAACTTCCATTTCAGACCAAAGTTTGTTCTTAGAAAGTGAAACCAAGCAATGAGCCCAAACCACTTTAAAATTTACTGGTGTTACTTTAGTGATCTAGGAAGATTCTAAAGATCAGAAAACTTACAAGATCTATTTGAGAAAGTGACCTTATCTAAGGAAGAACAAAAATATATCAATTCAACCCTCCCTTCTTGATCTTAGTGTGGCTTAAAATCTAAGGAAGTACTTTACTCTGAATAATGGAAAAGAAAATCTAGACAATGTTAGTTCCAAAAGTGATGAAAAATGATTTTAGAATACATAGAAACATCAAAAGGACATAAAGTTCATAACAAAAGATCAATGATTAGAAAAAACCTATACATGTAAAATTTTGAAAAGAAAATGAGGACTTGTAAATGTTGAATTTAGGGCACATTTAGATCAATAAAGTTTGAATTGATCTTATCCTAAATTTGACTCTAGACCAGCACTTTTAGTTTTCTTAATCTTTTCTTTTGATCTTACATTTCATTGGATCTCCTAAATCTAAACATTGATGACATTATGATTTTTAGTGGTTTGGCCCCTTATGTCCACTCTCCAATATCACCTGATTCATGGGTTTCATAAAGACAATGTTAGCAACTAAAAGGGATTATCGAGATGAACTCTCTCAAAAATTACTCTAAAAATATCTTCTAGATTCACATGTTTATTAGACAAAAACTAATTACCAAGCTCATCTGATGTGAGTGATTAAATAGAAACTTAATCACGAATTTATGATACATAAAATAAAAAAAATATCACCAATCACATCTGGAAATTCAATCAAGAGGAAGTGGAATTACGCTTGATGTTTTTCCCCTCTTCATGTTACCAAGCTATTTGATTACAGAAGACATTTTTCCTTAAATCAAATTGAGAAAGATCACTTTTAAATCAAGATTTTCTCCTCATATTGTTGTCATTTCATCATTGGAATAAGCATTGATTTATTTTCAAATTCAGGAGTAATTATTTCTAAAAATTTTCTCAAAGAATTTTGAGAGTGTAAAGTAGTTAAGGATGATCATTCAGTTTTATTAGCCATTATTGAAAGGTTGTAATTATGGATGCATTTTATTCACAACCTTCTATTTTTTGTCATTTTCAATGTTAAAATTCTATAATTAGTTGGAAATTAACATACATAAAAATCAACATGACCTATCATTTAAAGATTCAAACATCTTCTAATGCTAAACCAATAAGAATAGCCAAAGTTAAATGTATATATCCAAAATTATTAGTTATGGCATATCTAATAAGAATCCATTATTATTAAAATGTGATTGTAAATATATCTATCTATAAAATAATGACTTTCAAACTAGATTAAATCAAAAAAAATTTAAATAAAACACTAAAATATTCATATCAATATTTAACATCATTACTTCAATAACTTATGATACCTCAAAATCAGTTTTTAATTAATATTTAATGATATTCATAAATTATGAGGGGACATTTATATAGTTCAAATTAACCCAATTAATTCTCCATCAAATATAATCAGAATAAATAATTTCAAAACATTTACATCAATACATTTGATAAGCTTTAATATAAAATTTTATTACTTTTCACCCAAAATCTGATATTCAAATCATTACTTTTCATCAGTGTCATTTGTCATAATTATTGATAGTTTCCCATAGTAAATGAAGTGATTTTGAGTATCAAATTCATCATAAATCTGGTATTCAAAATAAAAGCAACTAATGCATTTTTCTATACATTTGACATCATTATTATGTCATCTCCTTGAATTTATATTTAATCAATTCAAACACGTCCAAGAGATCACTCATGTGCACGTCATATTTATGGGATATTCAATGTAATTTAATCAATTAATTTATGTGTTTTGGTCATCATCTAAACCTTTTACTTTAATTAAGGCTTTTAAAACCAATAGGAAATATAGGTTCTTAAGGAAAAACTTGGGGACAAGTGGTAATTCTTCATTTTTTCAACTCAAATCAAAAAAATTAAGAATTGCTTGAAAAGTGGATGACAATGAGAGATCATCCTAAGTATTACATAATATGAAATCTATAAGATAATATGATAATTAGATCATCCCTAAGAATAAATAACAAATTCGTAATATTTAGCTCTGAAATATAACCTAATGAGATATCTCTTATAAGAAAAACGAGATTCATGTAATGTATGAGGAATTAGAATATTTTAAAAGAAGCGAGGTCTAGTGTACAGTCCATAAACTACAACATCATAATGTCTTAGGAACAAGAAAGATATTTGGAAATAGGTTAAGTGAAGAGAAAAATTGTCAAGAACAGAGCCAAGTTGATGTCCCAAAGATACATTCAAAAAGAATAGACAACGAAGAAACTTATGCACTTGTACCCCAACTAGTAGCATTTAAACTACTAGTAGCATTTACATGTGTTAACAATTCTAACTTATATCAAAAGGATGTCAAAAATACTTTCTTTATAAGTAATCACTAAAGATGAAGTTTATGTTGAAGGGTTTAGTGAGGTTAAGATCTTTTCATGGTGACTATATATATAAAAGGATATCTTAATAACTTTACAAGGATAGTTACTTAATTCATGATCTTGATTGTTGAATATTAAAGAAAGTGATAAGTCTTCATTATCATGAGTTATAATTAATTAATAATATAGTTTTAACCTTAACTTATGATACATAAACTTATATTTATGTTAAATTATGAAAAATAGTTTTTAATTCATTCATGTGAATTTTTGGCTAATTATATGATTTTATGTGAATTTGTATAATTTTATAATCTTATTTTTGAGATAAGTGAAAAAAATAAAATATAAAAAAATGAGCACCCACTAGTCAATTGAGCCCTCAAGTAAGTTGGAAGCACAGTTAGGTGGAGCCGCAAGCATGGGGCTCAATTAGCTAAGGACTGGTAGGGAACACGTGTCACTCCTTTTCTACATCACTAGTGGTTGGCATAATGTGGGGCAATGAGTGGTCGTACACATATGAGAGAGAGAAAGTAGAGAGAGTTATTGATTACATAATATTGTATTACTATATATTCATCCCATAACTCAAAATAATCAATGTAGGACTAAACCTGTTTATAGCTTTTCAAAAGGTTTTTAATAATTTTTAATACCTAAGATACCCTTAGTTTGTGAGAAAAAAATATTCTGATGATATCATCTTATAAAAGTATTTACATACTTATTTCACTATATCTCATGTAGGTGGACAATTGATGAAGGTTTGAATCTCACTAGGGCTAAAACTCATATTTTTATTAAATTAAATCATAATTTTTTTTATAAATTGTTGTTCAATGTTTAAGTCATTATTAAATTATCTCCAATTGATAGATGAATAAGTCATCATAAAAAGAAGATAATCTGTCAAGAGATAAATCACCACCTCTTGAAAGCATACTAGATGTGATGAAAAGCCTCCTCTTACTACACAAATTTAAGGATGAAACTCTCTAAGACATGACTTAGTTTTTTTATAATAAATCACATAAATTTAAATATTTATAAGACTAGAAAAATACTAATTTTACATATTTAAAATTATTTTTAAATAAATATATCAATTATAATTTAATAAAAAAATTAAAAATAATAAGTATTTTTCAAATAAATTATGAGGATGTAATATTACATTGAGTAATATTACTTAATTGTTTTATAATTGTTCACAAATAATATATTTAAAATAATTTGTAGATTAAGTAATAAAAATAAAATAGATATAAAATTTATGAAAAATAGAAATAAAGGTGCAGACATCAAGATGTCATTAGCACCCCAATGAATGTGAATCGAGATAAGGCTGTGGACATCATGATGAATTCAATGAAGATCTATAAAATCTAAAATAGTCATAATTAAATGAAAAGGTTTTTGAAACTTTATATCACACAAAATATCATTAAATTTAGTAAAAAATTAAGTTGAAAGCAAGAAAGATAGAGTTCCAACCTTACGATAACAATCACAACAATTCTATATGTTCAAGAGGATTATCAAATAATATCCATAGCCTCAAAAGCTCTCCTTAGACATGGACTACCTTGACATTCGATGTATCACTTTTCAAAGTTCACAAAATGATAGTGAAAATTTAAACTAGTTAAAAATGATAAAATATAGTTTTGACACTGTGGCAATGATACGTTAGAATCTTGAGCATTTGAGAAGGCTATCATATGATGTCTATAATTTCAAACACTCTTTAGACACAAATAATATGGGCAATTGATAAGTCTTCATTATCATGAGTTAATAATTAATAAATAATATATTTTTAGCTTAAACTCATGATAAATGGACTTATATTTGTATTAAAGTGTGAAAAGTGGTTTTTAGTTGATTAATGTGAATTTTTGGGTGATTATGTAATTTTATATGATTTTTACAATCTTACTTTTAAGATAAATGAAGGAAAAGAAATTAAAATAAAAATATAGCAAAATAAGGGGGGGGGGGGCTGCCGGCTAGCCGGGCACGCAAGTGGGTTGGAAGCATAGTCAGGTAGGAGTCGCGAGCAGGGGCTCGAGCGGCTTGAATCGATAGGGGCGTGTGTGTCACCCCCCTTCCACATCACCAATTGCCAACCGACTATGGGGCAAGGAGTGGTCGTACACGTGCAAAAAAGGGACTTGATTGTAAATATAATATTACTATATATTCGTTAGAAACTTCTACGTATAACTGATGTGGGACTAAACGTGTGTCGCCTTCCCCAGAAAGGGCAAGCAACCAACACAAGTTTGAATCTTCTTAGAGTCAAAACTCATATATTTTTTATTTGATTATCGCGACTTTCCTGCAGATTGCCAATGAAGGATTAAGCAACTAGAATCGCTAGATCATCGACAAAAATCTCATCAACACGATTCGCAGAGCATTATTACTAAACTTATTGAACGATTTGCGATAAAAGGATCATGAATCCATCGAGTAAAGCATCTCCAATTGATCGATGAATAAGCCGTCATCGGAAAGAGGATGATCTGCCGGGAGATGAGTCGCCACCTCTTGAGAACGTACCAAATGTGATGAAGAGCCTCCTCTTGCTGCGCGGACTTGAGGATGAAGCTCCCTAACACACGCCCCACCTCCATCTAACTTTTCTACGTCGAGTGACAGCTGTTGGAGAGCTGCAAAGTCGTCATTTTTTCACTCTACCGAGTGAAAGCCGCTAGAGATGATTCGACAACCCATTTCATTGATCTCTAGACTTCGCAAGGAGATCTAGAGATTGCCCACGCCGTCTTTGTCCAAAGAGAACCTTCGAGGCTGTGAACACTACACGACGATCCTCCCAAACGCTCAAGATTTTGATATATTGCCGATGCATTGCCGCCGCAACTCTATTTTCTTACTTTCAACTTACTTTCCCCTTCATTTGGTGATAATTTCTGTGATTTAAGTTTACCAGCATATACTTCGTTCAATTATAATTCTTCTAGCTTTTATAGATCTTAATTTGATAAATTAAATCGTTTGTAATCGCTTACGTAAGAATTGCCGAAGGAAACTCTATTTCTATTCGATTCGCATTCGCTAGGCACTAACGTCATCTTGACATTTGCACCCTTATTTTCTTTTTCTGTGAATTTTAAATCTATGATATTATATTACATCTTGTGATTGACTTAGAAAATTATTGCTATTTTTAAAATTTTTATTAAATTATAATTGATATATTTGTTCATAAATACTTCTAAATATCTAAGAATTCATATTTTCTAGTTTTACAAATTTTAAATTTATGTGATTTACTATATAATGACTAAGTCACGTCAATAATCTATAAATCTTCTTGTGAAGTCTAAAAATCAATGAAGTAGATCAGCGAATCATCACTAATAGTTGTCACTTGATAGTGTAAAAAAATAACAACTTTATGAATCTTTGATGACTATCACCTAATAGAAATAATCTGAATGGAGGTAGAGTACATCTTAGATAATATGTGGATCTCTAATGGCTTTCACCTAATTATTTTCACATACACTTAAGGACAAAACTAGTCATTGGCTATCCACATTAAATAGAGAATTAACTAACTAGAAGAACATAAAATAAGTCTTTCTTTGAAAAAATTTATCCCTTAAGAAAAACTCAAAATATGAGAAAATATATATGGAGTTTTTTTCAAAGACTAGGAGAAACTTTACATGAGACATCAAAAATATTCAAAGATTTACTTAGAAAGCTTCATCATCATACTATACCCAAGTGGCAGCTCAATATAATTTGTTATGATAGATTATTAGAACAACATAGAGATATGGTTGATTCTATTTGTGGAGAAACTTTTATAGAAAAAACCTCTAATGAGATTTACAGTATTTATGAGAATTTAAATGAAAATTATAAAGATCAAGTCTCTTTTAAATTATATGATAGGGATAAGAAGAGAGGAATTTATGAATTGTATCATGATGATGATTCTAAATTTAGAAATGAGATTAATCAGATTAATCAAAGATTAGAAAAACTTGATTTACTTATTGATAATATTAAAAAGCCTCCTAACCTTCAATTGAATGCATATAGTACTTGTCCTATGTATAGTGAAAAGGATCATTTCGAATTTCAATATCATCCTAAGCAAGAACAAGTGCAAGTACCTCACGATTTTAGTAAAAATAGGGAATATTTTTCTAATTCTTATAATCTTAACTAGGAGAATAATTTTTTATCAAGAAACCTAAATAATATTCAAAATCTAGAAGTACTTAGATCCAATTCAAATTTTAAATCTCATCTAAAATAAGAACACATATTTTTGAAAAAAATTAGTCCTCTCAAATCCAACATGATGCTATAAAAATGATGTAGCAAATGAGCCAAATGATGCAACAAATTATGAATCAAATGATGTTACACCAAAAAAAAAATTATAGAGGCTTTTGAGAATAGGAGAGAAGAAGGGCAGCCACTTAGTCAGCCCATAGAAAATTCAAGAAACTATTCAGCAGTAGGATTTCAGTGAGAGTCTAGCTGAATAAATTTAGAAAAAAACCTATGCAATGAAAATGTTAGGACAGTAAATACATTGAGTGAGAATATTTTACCTAATCTTTATTTTCAATTATTAGAAGAAATCAATGATCCATTAGAACTAAATGAGAATATTAAGACTGAAAATATAGTAGTAGAAAATTTGAATAAAATCATTTACTCCTCACAATTGATGAATGAATATAGTGAGGATGATGAGGAAAAAGATCCCTTAGATAAAAAAATAATAGCTGATCATAGAAAAATCATCTAAATTTTAGTAGAAGGGAGTAAGGACAGAAATGAAGAAAAATATATTTCAGGTGAGGAAAACTCAATTGATTTGGAAGATGTAAGACATGAAATTAATAAATCTAATCATAATTTTGCAGCTATGGATGTTGATAGTGAGGATGATGATATATATCATATATCGAAATTAAAAGATAGCTCTTGGAAGATAAAGAATTTGATGAGTTGAGAAACGAAAAGTTAGAAAAATAGTTGATTCAACTAATAGGGAGAAACGAAAATAGTGAATATGAATATAGAGATAATTTTGGAGGAGGAAATTTGAATTTTACTTAATTCATTAAATTTGAGATTAAAGAGGATAATCTATACATCCTTCAAAACCCACAACCCATTAGAATTATTTCTAAGCTTGAAATATTTCACTCCTTGCAAATTAAACACATATGTATGGAAGATAAAATAGAGTAGGAGAAGATTATGTAGATAAAAGAACACATTAAGAAATTGGTGAGTGGAAGAATTAGAGATATCAATTTAGATGAAAAAATTCTAGATTGGGTAAGAGCTAATTTGAAAATTATATGGCCTGATCAGATTTTATGATCTATTAATAGAAAGTATTTATTAATGAATGAGAGCCTTACAAAACAAGATAGAAATGAGGAAAGATTCTTTTCAAAATGAAAATGTTATTTTTTTTAAAAATTGTTAATTTCTATTTTATTTTGGGTGAAAGTATATCAAGGTATATATATGAAGTATATGAATTTATGTTAAATCTAAAAAAGAATATCATGAAACTTACCTTGGGATACAAATATATTTTGATGGCCATAGATTATCTTATATGATCTAAGAGCTGTCCAACTGAAGATATTAAATTCAGCACTGCATGGGAGGCAACCCATGGTTTTTATTTCATTTTATTTGATTTTTTCTAAGCTCTATTTTTCTTAGAATTTTGCAATACTTATTTCTGTATTTGTTTTTTCAAAAAAGTGTAGGAGGAGGAGTGTAAGTTGAAGTCGAAAATTAAAAGCGAGGTTGAGGTGCTGCCTTTTTTAGCTTTATCATTTATGAAAATATTTTTAATACTTAACTTTGCACATATGCATACTTCACTTGAAAATTATATTTTCTGCATATTCTGTTTCAATTTTTCTATGTCATTGAGGTCAATGTCATTTTTAAGTTGGGGGGTTAAGTATTCATTATTAATTTATGCTATAGGACAATTAAGAACATGTGTTTGTATTAGAACAGCAACTGAAAAAATAAAAAATAAAATAAAATTCAGAAAACTACAATATTTATTTTCTAGTTTTCTATCAGGAACAACAGACTGTCAAAAATAGTAGACAAAAAAACAGCCCAAATTTTGAAATTTTAGAGACCCTTTTCTCACATTTCAATCCCCTAAACATATATTACTAAAATTTGAAATTATAGTTATAAAGAGGATAGTTTTGATTTATTTTTGACAAATTTATTGTTGTGAAAAATAGAATTGTCAGAACTATCTAATTTACAAATTTCTTACATCATATTATATGTATGAAAAATTAAATTAATTAGATTGATTGATATCAAAAGATACTAGGAAGATTATTATTGAGTCAAAAGAATGATCTAGTAGCATAAAATGTTGGAATACTCCTTGTGTACATAATAGGTAACATTAAATTGATTTTATAGATTTTCACTTTATGATCTTAATGGATAGTATTTACTTGATGTGAAAATTTGATTGATGATTTGAGTTTAATAGAGATTTTTGCACCCAGATCTATAAGACTTGTGAGGAGAAATCACTTATTTCGAAAAAAAGAGAGAGTAATGTGAAAAATCTAGAAACGAAGAGTACATATGGAAGGTGTGATACATCATTCTCATTGTTGAAATCATGTATAGAAAACTACTTGCTGTAAAATAAGTGGATAAAGTGAAAGCCCTAAAAATGAAGAGTACACATGGAGGGTGTGAGACATCATTCTTATTATCGAAATTTATCTATAATGCACACTATATATATCAAAAAAAATATATATATAATGCACATTTCAAAAATTAAGCTATAGAAAAAGAGAAATATAGGATCAATATTATTCTTAGATGATTATTGATAATTGAAATATCTTGTAAATATATCTATGAGTGAAGAAGTGATAAAGATGTGAATAGAAGAAGTGAAGTCTAGATTGTCATTCCAAAGAGTGCTTAAACATTTAAGTGCTTGACATCATTCTTAAATACTCAATATAAGAGTCCAAAGTGTCTAAAAGTGCATCATTTTCAATTGTATTTTTTTATGTATTGAAATATGATATTTGAGATTTGTAAATTTTTATTTTCGTAATTCCATTGTTAAGGGACTAACAATGATTTAAGTTGAGGGGTGTGATAAGTCTTCATTATCATGAGTTAATAATTATTAAATAATATAGTTTTAGTTTTAACTCATGACAAATAGATTTATATTTGTGTTAAAGTGTGAAAAGTGGTTTTCAATTGATTAACGTGATTTTTTAGGTAAATATGTGATTTTATATGAATTTATATAATTTTTATAGTCTTACTTTTGAGATAAATGAAGAAAAAAATAAAAATAAAAATAAAAATAAAAATATAACAAAATAGGGGGACCCGCCAGCCAGCCAAGCCTACAAGCGGGTCGAAAGTGCAGTCAAGGAGGAGCCATGTGCAGGGGCTTGAGTGGCTAGGACTGATAGGGGCATGTGCGCGCCACTCCCCTTCCACATCACCAGTGGCCAGCCGACTATCGAGCAAGGAGTGGTCGTACATGTATGAAAAAGGGACTTGATTGTAAATGTAATATTACTATATATTTATCAGAAACGTGGCGTACAAGTAATGTGGGACTAAACTTGTATCACACTTTTTCTAGAAAGGGCGAGTAACTGACGTGGGTTCGAATCTTCTTAGAGCCAAAACTTATATTTTTTATCTAATTATCACGACTTTCGTACAGATCGCCAGTGAAGGATTAAGCTACAAGAATCACTAGATCATCGACAAAAATCTCCTTAATGCGATTCATGGAGCATTGTTACTAAAATTGTTGAACGATTTGTGTTAAAAGGATCGTAAATCTATCAAGTAAAGCATCTCTAATTGATCAACGAACAAGTTATCATCAGGAAGAGGACGATCCGCCAGGAGATGATTCATCACCTCCTAAGAGCATACCAGATGTGACGAAGAGCCTCCTTTTGCTATGCAGACTTGAGGATGAAGCTCCCTGACACATGTCCCACCTCCATCTAGCTCCTCTTTGTCAAGTGACAGCCATCAGAGAACTACAAAGTTGTTATTTTTTTGCTCCGCTAGGTGATAGTCGTCGGAGAACTACAAAGTCATCGTTTTTCTGCTCTGCCAGGTGACAGCCACCGAAGATGATTTGACAACCCATTTCATTGATCTTTAGACTTCGCAAGAAGATCTAGAGATTGCCCACATCATCTATATCCAATGAGAGCCTTTGAGGCCATAGACACTACACGACGATCCTTCCGAACACTCAGGATTCCGGTGCATCACCGACGCATCGCTGCCGCAATGTTGGAACTCTATTTTCATGCTTTCAACTTACTTTTCACTTCATTTAGTGATAATTTGTGTGATTTAAATTTACCAAGATATACTTCATTCAATTACGATTCTTTTAGTTTTTATAGATCTTAATTTGATCAATTAAAATCATATGTAATCGCTTATGTAAGAATTGTCGGACGGAACTCTATTTCTTCTTGATTCACACCCGTCGGGCACTGACATCATCTTGACGTTGGCACCTTTATTTTCCTTTTTCATGAATTTTAAATATATTTTATTATCATTTTTTAGTATAAAATTCATATAAAATAGTATTCTTTGAGGCAAATTCTAAATAATTACCTGAGATTATATTACATCCATGTGATCGACCTAAAAAATGATTGCTGTTTTTGAAAGTTTTATTGAATTATAATTGATATATTTGTTCAGAAATATTTTTAAATATCTAAAAAATTGTATTTTCTAGCTTTATAAATTTTAAATTTGTGTGATTTACTATACAACGACTAAGTCACATCCAGTCCAATTGACCGACAAATTCTCTTTTTTTCTATCTTTTTATTTTATTTTATTCCTCTATATTTATCTCAAAAATAAGATTATAAAAATTATATAAAATCACATAAAATCATATAATTAACTAAAAATTCAAATTAATAAACTAAAACTATTTTTCTATTTATCATGAGATAATATTAAAATTAAATTATTAATTAATTATTAACTCATGATAATAAAGACTTCTCACTCCTTAAAATGTATCTTACCTTCATCCAACTTATCTCTGTCGAGTGACAACTGCCAAAGATTTGCAAAGTCATCAATTTTCTACTCCATAGGATAATAGTAATCAAGGATTATTTATCGAACCATTTTATTAATTTCTAAATTTTTTACAAGAAAATCTAAAGATTGTCCATGTCGTCAATGTTTAATAAGAGCCTTTGAGGCCGTAGACATTGTATGATAGCCCTCCCTCCCCCCTGAATGTTCAGAATTCTAGCATAATGTTGTTATAATGCTAGAACTTTATTTTACCATTTTTAATTAGTTTAATTTTCACCATTATTTTTTGAACTTTGAAAAAATATCTAGAGAATGCCCAAGTCATCCATGTCCAAGGAGAGCCTTTGAGGTTACAAACATCACTCGATAATCTTCCCAACCACATAGAATTCTTACGATTGCTATTGCAATGCCAAAACTCTACTTTTCTTACGTTTAACTTAATTTATACTTAATTTAGTGATATTTTGTATGATTTTAAATTTCGATCTTCATTAAATTATGATTCTTATAGCTTTTACAAATATTAATTTGATCAATTAATTTATTTGTAATCACTTAGACATAAGTCACCATGTGGAATTCTATTTTCACTTGATTCACGTTTATCAAGTGACTGACTTTATCTTAACATCTGCACCCTTATTTTCCTTTTTGTAAAATTTAAATATATTTTATCTTTATTTTTTAATTTAAAAATCATAAAAAATTGTATTATTTACATAAAATTTAAAAATATTCTCTAATAGTATATTTCATACCTATGATTGATTAGAAATTTCCTACTATTTGTGAAACCTTTTATCAAATTATATATAAATATTTATAAAAATCTAAAAAATAACATTTTCTAGGTTTTTAAAAAAAATGTATGTGATTTATTATACAATGATTAAGTCACATCAGAAGGTCGCCTAACTAAGTACAACTGACTTAAGGGTATAAAAATTACTACTTCAATATAAATTTAATATGTAATTTGTATAAAAATAAAGTGGCCATCATCTTATCTACAAATTTTCTATAAGGATTGATGCCATTAATGTAAGATTTATTAGAAAGCCCTTTGTATAGGCAGTATAATGTAACAAATCATATAGAAAAACTGCAAGACATTGAATTGATATTGATTGTACAATATTAAGGTGTGTTTCTAGAGTTCAAAATTCATGTGCAGGATGTACCATACTATTAAGCAACTATTGAAGTGGCCCAATAACCTAAAAATCAAGTGCCATCTAGTAAGTGCTCTATATAAGAGAGGCATCTTCTCAAGCTACAAAAGAAATGGAGAGGAGGAAGAACAAGAGAAAGTTCCACCTTCAATCATAGTCAAAAGGAGTAAGCCTCTAATATGCTAACTATTGAACACCTAAGAATGGTAATTCATTCTACTTTCTGCTTAGGGTGTGTTTGAAACTCATGACCTATCTAGAGTCTTAATTTAGAGGAGATTAGCAAAAGTTAATACTTGTGGGCTACCAAGAGTCATGAAATTAGAATATGAGATTTAGTCTCTCCTATTTTGCCCCCAAAGCATGAAAATATTATTTGGCCATTGTTAATATTTTATTTTTATATAATAACTCAAGTAAATTGAAGAAATTCTTACATTAATAAATGTCAAATACTAATTATTAAAGTTAAAAGGCATTAAAGTTGGTTAGGAAATTATGTGGTGAATTTATGTTTAATCATGTACTTTTTTATAAATTATGTGATATTAGTATATTTCTGATGTTTAATCCATGTATTAACATGATTATCTAAGGTTTATTTCCTTAAGAAATATTTTACAATTGATAAGAAATTAATATGGAATTAGAATTTGGAAAAATATATTTTTTAATTTATTTTGTGGGATAGTTATGAAGTGATTTTTTGGTAACCTAGAAATCAGCAAAATAATAAGAAAACTTCAACAATATATGCCAACATTAGTAGAAAGACATGTCAAGAGAATTATGGGCCACATAAGCATAAGTAAATAAAGGAAGAGGTCAATATTTTAACCATCACTCATATTGACATCAACATTCATACTTTATTTTGAATGGTGAAAAATCTTTATGTCGCAATTATTGTTTAAATTTCCTTGGATGGCAATTAGAAAAAGCTCCAAGGAAGGGGAAGAAGGTTTTGAGATGGAAGAGAAATGGTGAATTAATGAATTTCAAGGTTTTTTCAGTTGAGTTCTCTCTAAGTGGCAAACATAGACAAGCAAAGTAACGTGAGTATTTATGAATTCAATTTTTATTTCATTTGTGTTTTATTTTCATTAAGGCTTATTATGTTCTCTAAAAGACATCAAGATGATGGGATTGGGCCTTCAAATCCACATTTTAACTGCATTCTTAATCATTTTCACGTTCAGTTTCCATTCCACAATGATTCTCTATTCCTACATGACAAACAAGGAGAGTTTGTGTTTTGATTTAAGTATTTTTTGGTTGTTCAATTCATGATTTTAATTTTTATGCTAAAATTGAACTTCATTATGATCATTATCATTGTTTTAGTTTGACAGATTACTCAAATTTTAGAAAAAATCAGCTCAAAATCATTTTATAGTTCACTATCAGTGGGCAACTCACCTAGTGGATAACCTGTATTATAATATCATTGAAAACTGTTATTTTGTCATTTCACCTTCCAATGAAAGTCAACATTGTTATGATCATTAAAACCCATTAATTTGATATATTACTCAATTTTTATAAGAATTCATATCAAATTGATTCCCCATTTCACCGTAGGTTGGGTGATCCCACCTAATAGTACTTTCTCTCTCCTCCACTATTTTTTCACAATTTATTCTTTATTACCGTCCTTTGTTTTTCTCTTATTTTTACAATTTCTTCAACCTTTTCTACTGAAACATTTTGCAAGTCTTGAGTCATCTATCAACATTGAATGTGAATAAGCATCAAATTTGGAATATTTAAAGCTCAAAACTTGGTGGTGACATCATAGGTTATTAACTGAGATCAAAATGCAGAGAATTCTATTTATTTTATTTTTTAGATATAAAAAGATTCTAAGAAAATAATTGAAATTGACTACCATCTATGTCAATGACCTGAACTAGCCAAAAATTATTTTTAAATATTTTCTTGAATTTGGTTTTAAAATATTTGAATTTGATGTTTCTAATAACATTAACCACCTAGAACCATGAACCTAAAAGAGTATTTCTAGGTGATTCTTGATCTAACTGCAGCTATTAAATACGTAATTTGACACATAATGCTACTTAAGTCATAATTAAGCTTGTATTTCACTAAGGAATTAGTCAAGGAAATATTCTATTTACTGTGTGTTTATGTGCAGGATTTTAAAGTATCATCCTAATGCAAATGAAAGAATATTTAGAAACTCAAATACAGCTATATCTTAAGGATTGTGATATTGAAAAAATCATGACTTAAATTTGAGTAGGTATTGTGACTTAGACTTTTTTTGAAGTTGAATTCACAGGAAAAGTCCTAATGGATCATATTTTCTTATAGGTGAATGCTTGATTACTTAGTTTTCTAAGAAATAAAATTCAGTATCTTTATCAACTGCCAAAGTCAAGTACATGTCTACATTTAGTTGCAATACACATACACTTGAGTAAATTCATAGGTAGAAAATTACGGATTTAAACTGGATTAAATTCTAGTAAATCGTGACAATGTTTTTGGAGCATGAAATGCATGATATTTTGATGGTAAGAAATAATCATAATATCAATTAAAAATATTGAATTGAGCCTAATGCTGAATATGCTTGATATGTAACTAAATATGAAAGTATTCAATAATATAAAATAATATTAGTAAATGTTCATATGAGAATTCGTTGAGTACATTCTTGACTTATGAAGATGAATCCATCTAATTGATTGAATTCATCATGTAATATTACTATTCTTTAAATTATTGTACAATTTTTCAAGATTTATAGAAATTCTCATAGAAGTGATGAAGACACTCAAATCAATGAGTTTTCGTAAAGTAAAATATAGGTATGAAAAAACTTAGTCAGTATACTATGTACCCATTTTTTTTATCAGTATGCATGAATAAATATAACATAGAATCAATTGATTAAAATCATATGGTCCATTCTGCCACATAGGATTTTGTAATATTAATGACTATCTTTCATAAATTAATTTTAAATATTATGAATCACTAATGTTTTAATTTTATATAATTAGATCATGACTTAAAATGTCTTCTTGACAGTGGCATATTATTTAAGATAACTCGAATGAATTTTTATTGCTAAATTTATTTTTTAAGAAGACATATTATCAATTATGAGTTCATGATATTAAACCCTCATTGAAAGATTTGAACTAATTCCATTCGTATATGCACATTGTGCTGTAACAAAATCATGTGTTGGGTTTTTCTTAAGGTTAACTAAGTATCAGTGGAAATATCACATTGGTTTCTCAACCATTCAAATTAGTGTTTATT